ATATGTGTATAAGTGTATATTCATACGAGTATGCATGATAGTATACAAAGGCTCACGTTTCGCCCATTCGTTACCATTATCAGTCCTCAGCCGATGCAACACCTACTGCGGACAATGAGAACGAACTGCACGCATTGCTAAACCAGAAACACAACTCATGGGGCGATGCATTGCAGGTGAGTTGTTGTATGCTCTCTGGTAGTGTCCTATTGACAACTATACAGTATGAATATGCGAGAACATCGGCGTCAAAAAAATATAATCCAAATATTGTGTTCATATTGTCATTGATGTAGCAGCATGTTCGTCTGTAAAACCCTTATCAATCATTCTAAATACCGAATTGTATGATATTGAATACGTATACTTTTGATCGATACTTTTAATGTGGGTTATGTATTTTTGGGTGACTGGATACACGTATGTGACACCCAAAAGGCTCTTCAAGAATACGTTCACTCAACATAGTCTTCCGTTTGCTTATATTTTGCCAAATATTCGCTTGTTCGTCTACCTTCTGAACACACCTATATTGTACAGAGTTCACTCAAATTAAATGTATAACCGCCACGCACAGGTGTGGATTGAATACAGAAGTATGACGCCCAACCCGGCAATCCCCCTCCCCGAGTGTCTGGATAACATGACACCCATACGTGCACTAGGACACGATGTCAGTACTGCCCTGGAGATGGTGCATTACCTGTGTAACGAGGTGGCCTCGACCGAAGAGTTCCGGTACGTAATCGGTGCGCCGTGAGGAGAACTAACAACACATATTTTTATCTTACTGTGCATATGTTGTGCTTTTATGTATGCCTCTGTGTATGTGTGTGTGTGCGTGTGTGTGTGTGCGTGTGTGTGTGTGTTTAGAAACCTTTTTTTGAGCCTGTTTTTGCGGGTGTATCCCCTATCTCTGCATAGACACCGCCGGCGTTAGTGTCTGAGCTCTATTTAAATATCCACACATAAATGAAATTATTTTCATACTGTTGCGCCAAGAACTCTATTGTGATCCATACAATACTCCCGTATCTCGGGGTGAAAGACCTGCTTTGATGCCATTGATATGCTCTGTTAATATCGTCCATATATTCAGAAGCTAAAAGATGTGTAAATGGCATACTTGAGCAGTGATTTTGGGTGAATGAATGTCCATCGTTATTCCGTACAGATCTCTACTGCAATACGTAGATCGTGTGCTTGACTTATCCAATCGCAATTGTAGTTGCCCGTACTTCGACGTATAGGAACTAACTGTTCAATTCCTTACTGAAAAGGCCATTTTGGACTTCCGTATTGTATACTAACTTGCTACATATGTAGAAGTTGCTACGTTTACGTACACAATTACACAGTACAAATCGCTTTGTATCGGGCTGCGTTGATATTCATGTATTCCCACATTCCATACTCCCATAAACAAATTTCAACCCACCCGCTATTCGGATTCTATTAAAAGCATTCGAATAGAACTATAGGTGCATACTTTCTGAATCAATCTATATAGTGACTGACAAACGGACGACTGTCATTCTATTTTTAGCACGCACATCGATGAAATGAGGGAAAATCTACGGATACTCAACGCTGAACACCGAGCAGATGTCAGCGAATACAGGAAGATGCTCAGGGAGGAGGAGAAGGAACGGAAGAAACAGAATATGGAAGAGGATAGTGGCAGGTACGGTTTTTTTACGGGGGTGTGAGTATAGGAGAAGGGAAGGAAGAAACAGAACATTAGAAGTGGATAGTGGCGGGCTCGTTTAAATTGTGTATTCTGTTATTTCCCAGTACATTTTCAGTACGTGCATATTCTTACGAATGACAATCGATGCATTTGTGTTCGCTGGAGTGTATACACATGTGTTATTGATTTATAGTGTTGCGCCAAAAACTCTATTGTGATCCATACATGGGTTTGATTTTGAGTGCCCTAATGCGGCTCTGTGCTGTTCTCGAACTTACTGACTGGTGGATCTCATATTTATTGCACTCTATTTTGAAATTGTTTATATATAATTTCTTATGTCCATTCCTGAATGATTAGTGATTCCGACTCGGACGACGATGGAGGCTCCTCCGACGACGACAGTGGACAACCGAAGAAAAAGTGAGTTTGAATTCAAGTCAAAGGCTGTATGAGTGTTAAGTCTATCTATATAGTCGAACAGTCTGAAGTCGAGTTGCCTATGCACTGTTTACTTATGTAATAGTACACCAAAGGAATACCATATCATCTTGCCCACTTCGTCCTATATCCGGGGCGTTTGCTGTATTGGCGTTCCTGGTCAATTTAAAAAACAAACAAACCAGAATTCGAGTTTAATTTGTGTGTGTATTTTTGTGCATTATTCTTCATTCAGAGCTAAGGTGGAGCGTGCGGACGACTCACAAACCATGGAGGAGCCAGATATTCTTGCAAAGGCGGGAGCGTCCCGCCGAGAGATGCTAGAGTACAAACGAATGATGCGCGAGGTGTGTCTTTAGGCCTTTTTTTTTTTTGCGTCGTCTCAAACTTCGAAAATATGTGGGTGTAGTAATTCATTCACCACCACTGATGCGAATTATTTCAGAATCAGTGGACTCAGAAATGCAAATAGCAGTTAAATGTTCTGCTATCGTTATAATTCGTATATTGTGTAGTATATCCAACTTATGAAAAACTTGTCTGATTGTGACCACGATATGTTATGACCAGTAAACACATTTATAAGTTCCTGTGGACATGCTAGCACCTTATTTTACATCATATCAAATTTGACTATAGT